GTCTTTCTTTCAAGAAGTATCTCTTGTTCTTCTGTCCACTCCAAGCTTGTCTGCTTGTCCTTTAAAGTAGAACTTTCCCCTCAGAAAATTCTGGATGCTGTTCAGGATTCCACCTGAATCTTGTATAATTCAGAGACTCCTCAGGAAGCCTCCTCTTCAGGTATATTTTTATCATCAAGACATCACTCAAAAATGGTGAGCTAGCATGTCTGTATTTGTCTTGCAGGAGCTCCAAATGTCATAGAGAGACCCATCTGTATTTGTCTTGCCAGAGGCTCCAAATGTCATAGAGAGACCCATCTTCTGTTCAAGACGAAACAAGATGAATATTTCAATAAGCAAAGATGAGAATATTCACGCCAACAACAAATAGATTCCAATGTCAACAATTCTTGTATGTACTATGCGACATGATCAGTGTTACTGAAATAATTTAGTCCTAAAAAATGTTAAAAGAGCATTAGAAACTGTACATCTTCCAGTCAACTTGAGACAAAGTCCATTAGTACCATCTGGGAGGAGCTGGAGGTCGAACTTTACTAGGAAGCCTTCTTGGTTTTAGGATGTTGTTTGTAATCTGCTCATGAATTTAACTCCATGGAAGTGGATGCTGCTCCCTGGTCTTGTTCAGCTTGCTGAGTTAATCACCGGAATCTTCTGATGTCTGACTAGGCCGTTGACAATGTCTTGCGTTCTTTCTTCCCTCATTTTCTGTTTTGTTTCTCTTCATATCTCATATGGCCTAGGTTCCTACCTAATTCTCATTTTGCGTGACCCATGGTCATATGCAACAGTGGTTTGCATCTGCCTCAATTGGGTCTCTTGGTAAAGAATTCCAGTCAGTCTCTGCAGACCTGTTTTAGCTGTTCTTGCATTATTGGGGTGGTTGATTGTGTCTACCTCCTGACTTTAACAAAGATCTGTTGTTGAGCCTGAGTACACATAGTCTGATATTTCTACCTCCACTCTCAGCAGGCTGATGTCCTCTTCTTTGAACACACTCTCTAGTAGTCTCTTTTCTGGCTAAAGTTGTACCTCACCTGAGCTCTGGTCCACCATACCTTTTCGTGCAGTATCTAAAAATGGTGTGGGGGAGGTGTCTAGCCTCCTCTAGCTTCATGAGGGGAAGAGGGAGTCATTGTCTGCATTAACAACCCAAGGCTGATTCCTCTGAGGCGGAGGTCAGACATGCCTCTACCCTCCAGCCTTCTTTACCAACTCTGACACCAGTTGTCCCTCCCATACCATGCTCTGCTTCTCTACCGGGCTCAATAAATTGTTGCATTGGCCACACAGAACTTACAGATCATACTAAGAGTTACGGGATGTGATAGTTTAGATTTTGTGTCGATTTGAATGGGCCAGGATTCTCAGTGGTTTTGCAGTTAAGACGTAGTCATCCCTTATGATGAGATCTAATACAATGTAATCACTTGCATAGTTAGATGTGCTATGAGAAGTTGATCAAAAGGAATTTTCCTCAGGGGTGTGGCCTGCAACATCTTTTATTTTACAAAATAAAAGGATCAAGAAGTGAACACTGTGAAGCTCCTAGATCCAGGGAAGGATTGATGCCAAGATGCACGGAGATCTCCAAGGAATACTGGGCCTACAGAAGCTGAGTGCAGACAAGGACCTTTCCGTAGATCCAGCAAACAGAGAAAGAATTCCTCTAAAGCTGGCACTCTGAATTTGGACTTCTAAACTTCTAAACTTGGAGAGAATAAATTTATGTTTGTTAAAGCCATCCGGTTGTGGCATTTCTGTTATAGTATCACTAAATAACTAAGATATTGGACTTATTAGGGAAACAATTCCGGTTCAGGGATGCTAAGGCACAATTCTATGATCAGGGCAGTCTCTTCAAAGCAGTGCCTGTATGTTGATCTTTCTTTGGCCCTTGGCCCCTTGGTTTGTCCTGTGTCTGGTGTGGACAACAGTTACAAAGTTCTTTTCACTCTGTTGATAAGTGCCTAGAGTTACCCCACACTAGCAGTAAACCTTGGTCAAAGGCACTCAGCTCTAGCTCCATGGGTCAGTGAACCTAGTTCCACCAAGTTCTTGAAGGCACCCCATTCTTCCAGCAAGCCTTCTGCCAGAAAGTGCTCAGCTTTCTTGCTCTGTGGACCAGGGAGCCCTTTGCACTCTCTCCTGCTGGTCTCCTAGTTCTGCTGCCATTCTTTCTCTACTGCTGCTTCTCACTGTCTCTGTCTGTCTGTCTGTCTCATGTTCTCTGTACAGGGATCCCATATCCAAAGAATGCACTCTGCTTCCCATCTCTTTTTCTTGGTGATTGTGAGGTCCCCCTTTCTGCCTTTGGGATGGCTCATTTTAAACTTAGTGCAATGTCAAAACTGACCAAGTCCTTTGTCAAGGTTCCATACA